GAATATATGATTTGTAAATATTTATTTAGAAAAACCCTATAAAGATGAAAATTTCAGTTGAGGCTATTTATTTGAGTTATACAATTAATTAATTAAAATTATTAGCAATTTCTTAAAACTGAGTTGTCTAAACCTTTGCTCGATAAAATGTTAATTAAGCCATATTATTTAATAAAAATATGCATAAAATAATTAAATTATGATTTAATTTATTTCTAAAAAATGAATTATATATTTGCATAACTAAATTATAATTTACATAAAAATCTTTACATATTTATTGCCAGTGCAACTTCCAATCATCAGCAGATCATCTAAGTATATGAACAAGACTTGAAGGAGTGGATTGCCAATAACAGGAGAATGACAGCTTAATTTGTCCATAAAAATTTCTTAATTGTCCTTCTAAATATCTTCTGTCATTTATCAAGAATGACTAATTAATTAATGGCCACTATAATTATGGGTCAAAGTTATGCACTAAGATTAACTACAATATTTAATAAGGTTTCAATAATGTTAAAATTAAGAAAATCTCCTTAAACTGACATCAAACTTTTATTTCTATTTATTTAAATTTAATAGATTATGTAATAGTTTAAAAATATTTATTTATCTCAGATACATTAAATAATTAAAATTTTCTCTCATTCAAATAATCTTACTATTAATCATTAAAATATTCATAATTATTTAATTAGTAATATATATGACAAATACGTTTTCACGTAGAAATATATTTGAGAAAATTGGTGACCATTATACAAATATAATGAAGACCGCTCTTACAATAAGGTTTTGTTTGAGACTACTTTCTTATTAGTAATTTTTAGTTTAAAAAATCTGTAATTCAAAGGGTGAAGTAATGCTAGTTTATAATACTTAATTACGTTGCATGCCCTAGTTTAAATGATCACATTAGTGCATGAGTGATACTTTCGATCTTGCAGGGGATGAAACAAAACAAGTGGTTCTGAAGCTCTGCGACCTGGTTTTTAAGAGGGTTCATCTTCTTCTCGTTCATTTTTAGATGTCCTTGCGGGCTCGTCTTTTGTATCTGATTTTTCGAAGCTTAGGGTTTCCTTATTTCATGGTTTACATTCTCTTTGGATTTCGGAACAAGAGGTTTCTGCTTTAGCTGCTCCTTTCAAATTTTTTCTAGTCGGATTCTTAATTCGCCTCAAAACGCCATCCTTGGACTCTATCCGATGATTTTTCTTTAATCTGAAATTGAATGGGGAATTCTCGGTAGCTTTGCTGGACCCGATGCATATCCTCATCAATCTCAAAAATGACCTTGATTATTGTCGGGTTTTCTGCCATGGATCATACTTAGTTTATAATTATTACATGAAACTTACCAAGTGGCCGGTTGCCCCTTGTGGATATCGCTGTCGAGTCGCCAATTGTCTCCATTTGGGTTTCTTTCCCTCATCTATGCCCCCATCTTTTTGCTCCCCGCATTCTTCATGGGATGGGTTTGATCTTTGGCAACCCCTAAAAATTGACTCGATCTGCTACCTCCATTGGCTCCAGGCCTTCCCTTACTCGTGTATTGGTAGAGTTAGATGTTACTAAATTCTATCCCGATAAGGTCTGGTTAGGCCCTGAGAAGTTTGGCAAATGTCCAGCAAGTGGTTTTGGAGGATTTCCCTTCTTTTTGTTCTTCTTGCAAGAGAATTGGGCATTCCTTTGGTAATTGTCATCATGTGGCTGATAATGCGATTTCGGGTATGGTTTATAACAAGGAATTGGTTATTCCTGAACTAGTTATTTCCTCTTCTCCCAATGAGTCTGATCAATTTATTTCTACTAAATCTCCTTATTCTGCTTCTGCTCTGTGTGTGCTTCCTGTGGCGCAATTGATTAATGAGGATCCTATTTTGCCTTCGGTGGAGGTTGCGGGTATTGTGCAGGTGCCTGCTTCTTTAGATAATCTCAGTGTGATTGTTGAGTCTGTGGAAATTATGGATACTGTCTGTGATGTTGTTCCATTACCTGTGGTCGATTTAGGTTCTTTTGATGAGGTTGCTTCTTTCTCTATTGTGTTGGTTTCTGGGGTGTGGTGGCTAGGATCTTGCCTGTTGTGTAGGGCTATCGGGGTTGTTCTAGTGAAGGTGGTCGTTTGGGTTGTGTTATTAATTACAGTCCTGGTTTATCCAACTTGCGTGCTATGTCTGCATGCCCCGTCCTGTTTGCTTGGTAATGTTGGGACTGGTGTGGCGGTGGAGATTTTGTATTCGTCTCTAAACCCTAATGAATTTTCTCTTGACAAAGCAGATGAATCTGGTGTTGGCTTGGCGAGTGTGAATTCTGCATGTTCCTATTGACCAAGTTACTGGCCATTTTGTTGAGGTCTCGGTTAAATAACTATCTCCGAAGGCTTTGGTTGCTCATGTGGGTGACTATTTGAGGGAGACTATTAGGATGCAAATCGATTGGCTTCAATGCTCGTCTGATTCCACTTCGGAGGCTAGTGGGGATGATGAACCTGGTGATAATTGTGCTTTGCATAAAGGCCGTCATGTTGTTTCTTTATCCTCTCGTGGGAAGGGCAAACGTGATCATAAATAATTGTGAATGGTGGCTGCTGCGTTGGTTGTTTTCGTTTCCCCGTTTATGAGGGTCCTTGTTGCCTTTTATGTTGGCTTTGAGGAATTTGCTAACGGTTTCTGGGCTATGATGTGGCTCGGGCTCATCACTCCTAATCCATGGCTAGCTGGCAACCTTAGGTGGTGATTCTTATTAGCAGTGGTTGCGGTTAGTTGGCTTTTGGTGAAATTTTGCTCTTTCACTCCTCTGGATGATGTGTGCTCGGATTTGGAGTGGTTTGTAGTATGTGCCAATGCTGAACCTGACGGCCGTTGTGCTTTCTTCCCCCTTTTTTTTTTGTGCTTTCTTCCCCTTGTTTGAGTTTGAGTTTTGTTTCTTGTTTTGGCTGTCTTGGGTTTGTGGCTAAACTATTTTGGTCTAAGTTGTAACTTTTTTGTCTCTTTGGAATAAAATTTTCTTTAAAAAAAAAACTTAATTACGTTAGATATATAATTTAAGGGTAATATTTGACGCATTCTATGCAATATATTTTTAAATTAAAATATGATATATATATATATATATAATCATGGAAATTAAATGAATTCATTTGCCAAAAGAGCATTTCCAATGAGCTACATTGACAAATAATTATGGAGAGAATTTGAGAAAGGATTTCTGATTAGCATAGTTTTTTAATTAAAAATTATTTTTTAATGAATTTAAAAGATTTGAAATAATAAAATTTATCTCAAATTAAATTTAATACAACAACAACATCATCATCATCAAACCTTTGTCCTACTACGTATGGTCAACTACATGAATCCTTTTTCACCATTATATCTTGTTAAAAGTCCAATTATCATTTAAATCTAATAAAAAGATCATTTTTAATATTTTCTAACCAATACTTTTAAGTTCTATCTTTATCTTTCTTAATATAAGTCAAATCTAATCCATCAACTTTCCTAATCGGGTCATCGAAAGGCCTCTGTCAAATTTAAAAAAAAAATTATAATTTAATCCAAACAAATTACTGTCATCTTAACCTTTTTTATCTTTTCAACTGTGGAAATCATTATTTGTAGGCTAATCATATTCTGATATAATTATAAATTTTAAAATATATTTCAATATTTGAATATGACACATAACAGAATTTGATTTAACATTACAATTACTTTATTCAATACCTGTTTTTTTATTTATTTCATTTAAATTTAAATTCAAAACAAAATCATTATACATTGATATTTTTATTTAATTCTTAACTATAAGTCTATAATATCATATCTATTAAATTTTCAGTTTTAAATTTAACTTTAAGTATATTTAATACATACATATTTAGTTATGCAATCTTAAACTTCCTTACTCGTTGTAACAAATTAGATGATCGATATATGATTATTACTTCAAATTAAAATATTTAATATTTTAATTTAAAATAATTTGCTCAAGCAATACAATCATATTAATCAAAGCCTAAGACTTCATAGCATGTTTTAAATTTAACTTTAAGTATATATATATTTTTTGGGAAAATTTTGGGCAGAGCCCTTTTTATTGAAATAAAATGAAACAGAACAATAAACAAAAGTTCAAGGTGACAGAACAAAAGACTTCAAAGAGAAAAAATGACCCTCATATATTCTATAACAATATAGAATGAAGAAACAAAAAAAAAAAGAATGACAAACAACATTCTGCAATAAAGCAAAAGAATATACGAAAGAGATCCGACTCCACGATCATCCAGAGAATTCAGACTTCGTCCAAGTATAAGCATTAACTCGTTCCAGCAGCAGCATCTGTGCCTCCAAATTTCTTGGGTGCCAAAGCAAAACTTTTCACAGCTACGTCAAAGTGTCCCAGAAAACATCCGATCTTTGAGACCCAGAGCATCCCAGAATCTTCATTCCTGAAACAGCAACAGCTACAGACACAACTCTCCTTGGCCTATTGGTTTCCTTATTTTGTTTTATCTCAGCAAGCCCATAAACAATCTTAAGAACCCCTCGCCACGATCTTTGCCACCCTCTCCTAATTCTCCTCTCCTTCCTTTCTTTATTCCCCACCTAAAAATCTTCTCGTAGAAAAACTTCCAATTTTCTGCTAATCCTTCGCCACCCCACTCTTAATCCTCAGTTAATCATTTTGTTAAGCTCTTTGAAACTGATTTCATGTTTAAATTAATATATAGGATAAGTCTACTAATCCCAATGTTTAATTCATATCTCTGTAGACTTGCAATGAGCTGATGATCAACTAATATACTATTTGCCTATGGCCGAGTGAAGTCAATCTCCCTTTGCAAAAAACATTCTTCTCAGCTATTTAATGATCTTCTCTCTCGCTCTCTCTCTCTCTCTATATATATATATATATAAAGATAAGTAGTTCTTAGCCTTGAACAGTAGTGTTCAGGCTAGCTAAACTACTTGCAGAGAGAATAATTTCATCAAATGGAGAGCGTTGGAGTTGTTCCTGAGATTTACTGGAACTCGTTCGAAGAACCAGTTCAGTATGATCAGGAAACAAATACCATGGCTCAATTGCTCGAAGGTCAAATCTTTGGTTATGATCAGGTTCGAGAGCAGCAGAGCTCGAGTCTTATGTCCATGCTATGGCCTTATAATGAAGCAAGTCCCTATTGTTACTTGACTGATCCAAATGCAAATTATGAGGGAATAAATTATCATGCCATGGAGGATGAGCAATTTGCTTCTTCCTTTTTTCAGATTGATACTGCAGGGAACCCATTTGAAGGGTTCATTAGCCCTAATGAAGTAAATAGTGATGAATCCACAGACTGTAATGCTGCTAATGAACTAGAATTGCAGAACTGGAGAAAGAGTAATCAAGTTGAGGTTCCAGCTGAGAGGCTCCAGAAAAAGGCTCGTGTAAGTATAAAAAATTTAAGGTTTAGGGTTGGCTTAGCACAATCATTAAATGAAACAATTAATTAATTTTATCTGATTTCAGGTTCAGAAGGCTACGAAGAATTCGAGATCGAAGAAGAAGCAGAAGGGCAGCAGAGGAGGAAGCGATGAAGAAGAGAGCAATGCTGGTATAAATGTGCAGAGTACCAGTAGCTACAGTTCGGAGGAGGATTACTTGAATGCTTCTCAAGATATTACTGAAGGAGGGAGTGTGAGCTCCAGCTCCAAAGGTTCCTCTGCCTTAAATCTTAATGGGAAGGTGAGAGCTGGAAGGGGAGCAGCTACTGATCCACAAAGCCTCTACGCAAGGGTTAGTTCTATTGATCGAATCACCTCAACCTTATTATTATATATATAAAATCTTCCATATTAGAAAGAATACTCTTTGCTTATACAGAAGAGAAGAGAGAGGATCAATGAAAGACTCAGAATACTACAGAACTTAGTACCAAATGGAACCAAAGTAAGCATTCAAGAAACAGTTCCTGTTTCCTTTCAAGTTACAAAAATTTGATTTGGATTGATTGCTGAAGATTTTTCATTGCAGGTTGACATCAGTACAATGCTGGACGAAGCAGTACAGTATGTGAAGTTCTTGCAGCTCCAAATTAAGGTAGGTATCATAAGTTAGATAAACTTTAAAACTTTCAGAATTTGATCCAAATAAACTTTTACTGATAAAAAATAATTTGTTTTTAATTTATTTCATCTGCAGCTTCTGAGCTCTGATGAGCTGTGGATGTATGCTCCTCTTGCCTATAATGGAATGAACCTCGGGCTTGATCTGATGATTCCTACAAACAAATTATAACAGTGAAGCAATAACTGAAGTGATTCTGGAGTTGTGATGTAATAACTCTTCTATTCTTTTATTTCAAAGAAAATGCCATTACTGGCCTTCGATTGGATTATATATACTTCTTTAGATTAGCATATAATATAAATGATGATTAAGCTTAATAATATGATTAGACTGTTCCCAATGACTTGAGCACTTACTGAAGTTTTCATTGAATGTGGCGTAATCTTCCATCGATATTAGTGTGTGCAGAATCGTGAGAAAAGGAATTATATACACGTGTCTATCTATTATGCGAATTTTAATTATAATTAATTTTTAATTATTGAATTTAGTTTAAGATAAGATTAATCATGATTAATCTATGAATTTTTTATTTTACTTATCTTAAAATAAATTTAATAAATATAAAATTTATTATAATTAAATTTGAATCAGAATATCCTGATTAAATTCTAAGTGAAAATATCTTGATCTAAATTTTTTGTTTTATATAATTTTAGCCTAAAAATGGTAGCAACATATATTTTTTTTTTCTTATAAACTTGAGTGAATTAGTAGAAATTTGATATATTTGGAGTTTGATCGAAGAAAATTGACAAAAATTAATAAGAATTTTACGAACATAATTAGTTAGCACACAATACCAAATTGCAAGAATTGGGGAGAAGAATTTGGGTACATTTGGACAATTCAACTTTAGATTTGAAGATAGAAGGACCACATTGTAAATAGGAAATTTATTTTTTATTGTTAAATATAAATAAATATTGTTTAGGGAGTTTTAAGAGAGTGTTGATCTTAAAATAAACATTTATTTATTTCAATCTATAAACTAAATTATGGAATAGCTACTATAGTGGGGGGTCGTAATTCTATGGAGAATATTCAAATTAAAAAATTTGATAAAATTCTATAAGAAATAACTATCCTTGTAAGTAATAATTGTTGTTGTTTTTTTTTTTTAAAGATTTTTATTGATAAGCCTTTGTCATGTACACAAGACTCTTGGCAGAAGAAATTAAACCTTAATATAAAATAAATAGTGATGATCAATTTCTCATAACCATTTCTATAAAAATTCTCTTATCTAATGTTTGTTATATAATATATATATATATTCTTCACTATTGATTAAAATTTAGGATAAGATAGGTGCCATAATTTATATCATTTTAAATGCTCTTTGTATTTTTTAGATTTAAAATTTCATTTGAGACAGTTTTATTATTACTTTCTGCAAATATTTTTTAGTACAAAATTTTTCTAAAAATAATAGCGGTTTATAAACTACTACTAAGATATTATGCCTCTGATGCCCGTTTTTGATAATGATATTTTCAATATATATATTACAAGATATCTCATATTAAAAAAAATACTATGTATGAGAAAAATTATAGACCAACATCACATCTTCTAATTGAAAATTATTTTGAATGTTTATTATCTTGAGCAGTCATAAGAAGCATTTAAGAAGTAGTGCACTTCTCAACCTCTCAAATTAATATGCTTTTCAAATCATCTCTAACTATATAAAAAAATGCAAAATTGCCCAAAAATATTTTAAGTGAGCTCTTCTTATATCTAGCATATCAAATAATCACATAAAAATATTGAATGTCTAAGGTGACTCTAAAATAATAGAAATAATATTATTCTAAATATAATTATCTTGATTAATCGGATTGGGCTTGTTAAAGATAGGACAATTATAAGTAACATCCTCTTTTAGCCCAAAAAATTATATATGCTATTAATCTAAGCTGCAAGTGGTTCAAATGTGCATGTCTATTAAGTAGAATATGGTGAATCCTTATGAGTGTTGAGCATCGGCAGTCCCACTATAGTGGTTGGGTGCATGATGGTAGTTTGATGAAGATGGTTATGTGATGGCGATTCAACAACAGTGGTCATTCCGACGAAGGCTATTGATTAGATAAGGTCTAACAGTTGTGGTCAATGATGATAAAACGATGATAGTTAGATGATGATTTGACGACGGTTGTTTGGTAATCATATGTTTATTATTGTTTTTGGACTAAAATATTCGTGGCTGTAAAGTATAAAATTTCATGCCTTAGCGTTGCATGAGTATCCAGCTCACAAATAGAGAGTAGAAATACCCGAATTTTTTATGTGGAAAACCTTGAATGAAAAATCACGGGGACACACCCAATTGAAATGAATCCATTAATGTTTGAATTGATTTGTCCTTGAACTTTGGAACGATTAGATTACAATAGACAACTGTCAGGTTCAAATCTTGCAACAAATAGGGATCAAATTGAAATCCAGTAATGGTCGGTCGGTGGCCTGGTATAAATCTGTCGTCAGTTAGTGACCAAGTGGAAGTCCAACAATAGATAGTAACCGGGCAGAAGTCGCGATAATTGGTGGCCGAGCGGAAGTCTGACAATGGTTAGTTGCTGGGCGGTGGTGGAGGATGAGTTTGGTGGCAAGAGAACTCACTATTTTTAGGGAGTGACATGACTAGTAAATAGGGAGCTCGAGGAGATCAAGAGCATATTGGGAGTATTTTGAATGGATAATTAACCGATATCGGTTCCCTTGATCATAGACAGTTTATTGAGCATTTGAGTGTATTAAAGATATAAAAATTCAAAAATATTAGGCTCATTGGATTCATCTCGTCGAGCCGCTCGATTCGACTTTAAGAATGGCATATTTCAAAATCATTTGGTCATCCAATTTATTGTTTGAACCTTCTAATTGTGCTATGGGTCTTTGATTTGTATCCATTTGGGCTCGTATTTGGTTGAATTTGGTGTCGTTGGGTTCATATCCTTTTGAAACGTTCAGTTTGACTATAAGTTTGCTAAAATTGGAGTTCATATGATCATGGATTTAATTTCAGAAATTTTCAACTCAATTTTGCCTTGAAATTCATGCCCGATCAAGATAAATTTTTTATGTATATCAATGGCGTTTAAGTGAAGCTCAAAGATTCTTCAAGCCTAGAGTCTGCATATAAAGAGTAGGGTCTATTTAGAGATTTTTAAAAATTGTGTGTCCAATATATGGAGAAAAACTAGAATACTTCATCTAATAGCCTATTTATTGATTTCCATGGTCATATAGCATTTGAATTTCTTTTATGGAATTAAATAATCTTAGGCTTGTTGGATATGTCTCCTTGAGACGCTATATTTGTTTATAAGAATGCCAAAATTTGGAGATCATTTAGTCATTTAATTAGTATCACAAACCTAACTAAACTTGAAGCTCTTGATTTGGACTTATTTGAAATTGGAGCATTTCATTTTTTGTGTCATTAGGCTCATCTCATCGAGTCTATCATTTTACCTATAATTTTTTTGAAATCAATGTATAGATACTCCAAAATTTTGTTTTTCTCCTTGCTCAACTCCTTGACCTAAGGTTTCCCTCACTTTGCGTAGTTTCTCTCGATCGGCGGCATTTGCCGCCCCAAGCGTCACTAGCATTGGGGCAGAAGTGGTTTTCTATGAAGTTGTTTCTTCAGCTGGGGTTCCTTGTTCCGTTGGATTCCTCCCGACCGTTGTCAGGAAGGCTGGGCTCAGGGAAGTTTTCTTCTTCTTTTTTCCTGTCTTTTTTTTTTTCTGCGATTTTGGTTCTCCTTCTTGTTTTGCCTTGCTTTGTTCCGGCTTCCTCCGGCCATGCTTGGCCAGATGGAGGGGAATCATATATATTTGTGATCTAGGGTTTCTGGGTGGATATTTAAAATCACGTTGCTTTTTGGATGCTTTATCAGGTTCTTTCTCTAATGTTCGCTTTCCTGACCTCAAACCTTCTACATTTTGTGGTCTACCCTCTCTTTGAATCATTTTGATTGATTGGATGGGACTTCCTCCTCTCCTTATAGGAATGCAAGAGATGCCTTGGATGAGAAATATGATGTTTTTTTATTGAGTATAGTTTGAATGTTAGTCATTGTGCTAAAAAAATTGAATTCCATGGTTCTTGCAAACGTAGTAGGATAGTTCGTTTCTATTAGGAGTAATTGACATGTCTTTTGTTGGTTGGGCATCCGATCTGACCTTTTGTTTTGCTAGTTGTTATGTTTTTCAGTTTTGAGCCTTATGTTACTGGTCCGAGCAATGATGAGTGGCTTTCTGCACAATCACTAGAAGCCATTGGCTTGCTGACAACCTTGGTAGCTCGTTCTCTCGTACTAATTGGTGGCCTTTTTCTAAGATGTGGGTTGATGCTTGGGTTGTGTTTGCTGCCTCCTATGGATAGTTCTTGACTGACTTCTAGTTGGTTGTATGAAGGACTGAGCCCGTTCTTGAGTCCAACTATTGTTCGCTTTGATTTGCTGATGTTAGCCTTGTATTTTGATTTTTCTCTTTTGGATCCGGTTGTAATCTATCTTTTGTTGAATGAATTTTGGGCATGTTTCAATTAAAAAAATGGATTCGGCAAAATTTAGTTTTAGAAATTTTTAATTCAAATATTTATTGAGATTCATGCTTAATCAAGCTAATTTTTTATGATAATATCACTTTTGTTGATAAAATTGAAGCTCTCTTCTCAAATTGTTAGTTCTCACTCTTTTTTAATTGCTCATTTTGTGATTATTTTATTTAATCCTATAAGGATTATCATTAGGGAGATTGGATTTCCTAAGTTCTATCTATTATCTATCGAAAATATCTTTTAAGCGTCAAAACAATTTTCTTTGAAGAAATCATGTCATAAGTTACAATTTTAGATGCAATTCGTTTATTCATCTTTTGTTTTTTTTTTAATATTATTATTATCTTTACTAACCCTAGCCATAGTCTTTGATAAATTTAATGAAATTCCTTTGTGAATATCAAAAAATTCTCCAGCCAATCTATTAAGAAAGATAAAGCTCACACCCACCATTGTTTAGCTTGATTGGTGGACGAGTACGTTTAGTTTACCAACCCGTGCATTACAGAAAAATCAACTATTACCGGCGGCAACTCATTATTTTCCGGCAGTTTTGTAAATTTTCGGCTCAATTCCCCTCGAATGGCCTCTTAAGTGGGGTCCAATCAAGTGTTGGCTATGAGGTTTATGGGGTGAGTGCTTCTTTTAGGTCAGTCAAAGATTAGTCATGCTATTAAATGCCCTTTTGGAGGTACATAACAGCGGGAAAAAAAAAATAAAGCATACAATTTAAATCTCTTGCAAAACTTCTGTCCAGCACGTACAGAACTGTCTTAAACATTAATACTTTGGGTATTCCCAGGAAGAATTTCAATTAGCATTCATAAAAGGATAACTAAAACAGATAAATTCTTAGTAGAATTCTATAAATCACATTTTCAATCGCACGAAAACATAACGATTAAAAAACAGTACTAATTCTTAAATAATAGCTACAGCTTCTCCCCAGCAATGACTTTCCCATTCTTTCTTGTATCCTCAGTGTCCTAGCTCAAAGGCAGCAGCTTTGAAGCTATCGGAGAGTCCGGTGCCTGTCTTGAAAGTGAGCTTTTCAGAGGTTGGGTTGTCAAAGTAAACCTCCACGACCGACAGCCAGAGCAGAAGCTCCTTTGTCTTAACTCCAGTCATCTTCTTCAGCTTATACTTCTCCACGAGAGCCGTTACTTCAGGAGCGTAAGATACCGCCCTCTTGATCTCCTTGAAGACATGATCTTTCTTCTTCTTTTGGATCAGCCAAATGAAGCCGGCCTCGCGGTTATAGCCAAACTCTTCGATATCCTCCAGAGGTAAGAGACCTTTGGGAAGGCAGAGCTCTTCGAGGAGTTGAATGGACTTCTCCTTGCAGAGGTCGTGGCCATTGTAGACCTCAGCTCCTGCACGGTAGTTCTCAATGGTTTGGGATGCCATTGATTAGTTCTACTGTGATGATAGAAGAGTATTTGCTTGATGTAAGAAAATTGAGCTAGTTAACAAGAGATTGGTGGTGATGATAAATGGAGAGTAAGATGGGTTTTTATAAGGTTAGAAGTTAGTCTTAAGAGCCAGAATAAAATAATACTAAGGAGTGAGTCAAATTTCTCCAACGCGTCCAAGAAGTCGGTGGGCTTTAATTCTCGCGTCCGCGTTAGAGAAGGCGTAAACATGAAAGGAGGACGACTCGTTTGCTGTGTTGAATCTCTGTTCATACGCTATTTACGCTTATTCCAAGTCAAATAATGCGGGCATCTTTAATAAATCTTGTTATAGTATTTTTTTTTTCTGAAACATGGATAGTGTCGTCTCTCTTTCACACTTACAGCTCCTCTTCGGCGGGAAAAATTATTAGGTGCGGAGATCAGATTTAGAGTCATACGTCATGACATTCACTTAAAATTTGACACGAGGAGTGCACTTTGGTTGTGCATTTTTTTGCGTTGTACCTGCGCTTTAGTTGCTCTTTTTTGCACTTTTTTACTGCATTTTGACTGCGCACGATTTATCTGTGCTTTAGTTGCGTTTTGAATGCTCGTTTGTTGCGTATTTTTACTGTGCTTTGACTATGTTTTGCCTATGTTTTACTTGCACTTTACCTGCGCTTGACTTAAAATTCCACAGACACATTAAATATATAAAGTAAAAAATAAATCCAACATATCCACTCAACATGCCAACATTTTATTAGAGTCCGAACGTACCTCTACCCAAGGTCTTTGCACCTAATAGTCAATTCCGGGTTAGAAGTTCCTTGCGGTATACATAATTTTCCCTTCTGGTGGAGAAGAGAATTGAAGACCATTGACTTCTTCTAGGCTCACTTGTCTTTTCTCTTGAGACCGAGTCAAACAATATTAGAATTACTTTGCCAACCCAAGCTTCAATAGCAATTTAGCCTACCTTATTTTTGGCCGCCATACCTGACCAATCTATCCATCCCTTATTTCTTTACAAGACTAACTTCTAACCTTATAAAAACCCATCTTACTCTCCATTTATCATCACCACCAATCTCTTGTTAACTAGCTCAATTTTCTTACATCAAGCAAATACTCTTCTATCATCACAGTAGAACTAATCAATGGCATCCCAAACCATTGAGAACTACCGTGCAGGAGCTGAGGTCTACAATGGCCACGACCTCTGCAAGGAGAAGTCCATTCAACTCCTCGAAGAGCTCTGCCTTCCCAAAGGTCTCTTACCTCTGGAGGATATCGAAGAGTTTGGCTATAACCGTGAGGCCGGCTTCATTTGGCTGATCCAAAAGAAGAAGAAAGATCATGTCTTCAAGGAGATCAAGAGGGCGGTGTCTTATGCTCCTGAAGTAACGGCTTTCGTGGAGAAGTATAAGCTGAAGAAGATGACCGGAGTTAAGACAAAGGAGCTTCTGCTCTGGCTGTCGGTCGTGGAGGTTTACTTTGACAACCCAACCTCTGAAAAGCTCACTTTCAAGACAGGCACCGGACTCTCCGATAGCTTCAAAGCTGCTGCCTTTGAGCTCGGACACTGAGGATACAAGAAAGAATGGGAAAATCATTGCTGGGGAGAAGCTGTAGCTACTATTTAAGAATTAGTACTCTTTTTTAATTGTTATGTTTTCGTGCGATTGAAATGTGATTTATAGAATTCTACTAAGAATTTATCTGTTTTAGTAATCTTTTTATTAATGACTTAATGTAATTGAAATGCTTCCTGGGATAGCCGTTAAAGTTTGATTGGAAGGTAGAGAAGGATCAAGGTTAACAACAGTTAAATCCTCTTCTTATTCACCTCCAATTTTTTCTTCTTCAAATAACAGTCTTATTTCTTCAAAAAAAAAATAACAGACTTAGTTTAAAATGACTTTCTTATTATTCATTAAAGCAGCTTTTTAATACTAAACTTCTTATAAAGAATTGTAAAGCTTTTCAGGATTCCCAACTTTATGCACCATTGAAAGTCTTAAATTTCTTTTGTAATGGTTTTTTGTTGCTTTTTAAAACAATTTTTTAGTTAAAAAACAAATTTTTTATAATAAAAAGTTGCTTTAAAAAGTAGCCAAAAAATCATCCCAAACAAAACCATACTCGGTTGGATTCTACCTGACCACCTGTATGGAAAGTTAGTTGCATTAGTTAATAAGGCTGCATCAGTGACAGTAATTTCAATGATAAATCTCTTTGATAAGTTTTTTTTTTTTTGGGTGGAAGATGCGGATAAAATTTATACTAACAAGATAGGAGAAGAAACAAGAATTCAAAGATGTATGAGACAAGATACGTAACGTATTAAGATTATTTTTAGTCTTTATTATAAGGGCTTTAAGCAAATTG